CACCTCAAATGCTGTGTTCAGTTTTGGGCCCCTCACTCCAGGAAGGACATTGAGGGGCTGGAGCATGAGCCCAGAGAAGGGCGATGAAGCTGGTGAGGGGTCTGGAGCCCAAGGCTGATGGGGAGCAGCTGAGGGACCTGGGGGTGTTCAGCCTGGAGAAGAGGAGGCTGAGGGGAGACTTTATCGCTCCCTACAACTGTCTGACAGGAGGGGGGAGCCAGGGGGGTGTTGATCTCTTCTGCCAACTAACAAGCAGTAGGACGAGAGGAAATGGCCTCAGGTTGCACCAGCAGATGTTTAGATTAGATATTAGGAAAAATTTCTTCACAGGAAGGGCTATCAGGCATTGGAACAGGCTGCCCAGGGATGTGGTGGAGTCCTCATCCCTGAAGGTATTTAAAAGACGGGCAGATGAGGTGCTTAGGGACATGGTTTAGTAGTGGATAGGTACAGTTGGACTCAGTGATCTTAAAGGCCTTTTCCAACCAAAGGATTCTGTGATCCAGATGAAGTACAGAGGCTTTTCTGCAGACAGTTCTTCCATAGTAGCACAGAGCATATTAGTAAATATGTTTTCAGTTGTCAGCAGGATGGGCCTAGGTTTTCCGTTTAAATTAGAAATCGTGCTAAAAAGAAAAAAAGAACCCTAATATTGGGTTGGTAACACACAAACAGAATTTGTGAGTCTCTAAATTGAACTTGGACTTCTCATCCTCTTCTGCCAAGCAATTGGCCTCTTACGGGTATTGCTGGTAATATATGTATTGGGCCAGGATAACTTCAATTTGCGTTGATTCAGATACACTAAAGGCTAAGTGGTTTCCAGTGTGGTGTCTCATTACTGAAGTGATTCGAGACAGTGTGTTCGTTTCCCAGTGCAGCTGTGGTTTCCCTTGGGCTTGTCCTGTCAAAGGGATATGCCACTTGGGATCAAACTGGACTCGTCTCTTCCTCAGCACTGCCTTGGTGAGTGCACTCCTGCCTCTCGTGTTTCTTGAAAAATGGATGGCAAATTCCCTGCTCTTTCGCTGGGTCTTTGTGGGAGGCTGTTGTGGCTCTGCATCCAGTTCTGCTAGCAGGGTCTTAACCGCTCTCCAAGTGAGATGTCAGGCTATTTCGTGCACGCTCCGCCTCGGGTGCACAGACCTGTCAAAGCTGTAAATCGGATCTACCTTGTCCCTTTGGATATGGGTTTGGTCTGTGCACATTTTGATGCAAAACCATGATGCATGTGGAGCTAGTTTACAGCTGGCAGTAAAAAGGAGCATGAGTGGAATATGATTACTACTGTTTTAAGGAGCTTTGTCCCCAAGTCCTTGCCAGGGAAAGTAATGGTCTGGGCCAATGCAGATCTGCTATATATTTTGTTGGTGAGATAGCACCTTTAAGGTGGAGATGTTCTTCAGTGTTGTTTTTCCAGTCTGCTGCGTTCAGTGCCTGTCTGCATCATACCATGTGTGGAAAGGGCTGTCAGTCCCTCGCATCCTCACCAACAAATTAGTTTGACAAATACAGGAATGGCTTTTGCTACGTGGGAATCGGTGTAGCTGGAAAGGCTGAAGGTGCCTGCCAGAATTGGGCAACTTTATAAAATGAGACTTCAGTTGATACCCCTACCTACATCTTGCCTGACCAGTGTGGCTTTTGTCCTCTTCACTGCTGGGCTGCATGTCATGGTGAGCAAACTGTGCCATGTATTTCAGCGAAGTTTTGTGCGAGGTTTTAGTGGCAGGATCTTTCACTGGAGCAGTGGCAGACAGGTTTTGGAAGTTTGGTTTGAGGACAGACCTGGGAACTAGGAATGGTCAGATGCTCATCTTCACTGTGATCCTGATCCTTCCTCTGCTTTTGATTTAATACCTGCAAAATAGAAGTCTAGGTGCATTGAAATTCAAATGCATTGGGATTTGATGAGGAGGCTGCATATTACAGCTAAGCTGTGATCCAGGTTACTTTAAGTGGGTAGGCGTAGCTGTAAATTTAGCCAGCTCAGCCTAAAAGTCTTGCAGAGTGCACTTGCCACCATGCAGCACACTTTGCATTTCTCACTAACTGCTCTTCAAAATATTCTGGCTTCTTACCAGAAACTACTGAGGAAAGAGCTATCTTTTTATCTGCACTAAGGTGTGTGACTGCCACATCTGCTCCCCCTCCTGCTGTATTTATTTGTGCTCTTCTGCAACCGGCAGCCTCGCTGGCTTTATCCCTGGGGAAGTCCTTCATGCTCATTCAGGAGCCCTGAAGACTCCTTCATTTCCATTCCCTTTCACACTGCCCAATCTCCCTCCGAGGTCTCATGGTGTGGCCTCCATAATGAGGATCAAGGAGGGTCAAGGACAGTGGTATTCCCCAGGAAGCTGTCTGCATCGTGGCTCCAGTGGCTGGGACCACTGGCTGAGTGCCTCGTGGCTGCTGCCCTTTGCTTTGCCACTTCTGGGTCGGGTATGGAGGGTCCTTCATATTCCCTGCCCTACGCCCACAGAGAAACGGTAGCATCCTTGCAGTCCTGACTTCTGATGGCTTTCAACAGATAATATGCCCCTAAATCAAAGTGCACGTTTATATGCACAAAGAAGCAGCTTAGCTTTATGAGTTTTTTGGATATATTTATGAATAATGAGACCATCCCAGAGAGAAAAGAAGGTGTGTGTGGGGGGTTTAGCTGCATTGCCCTGGGTGGATAGATGGGAAATTGTGAAAGAATAGAGGTGCAGTCTGTGTCATGCAGTGTTTTAGCCAGCCAAAGGTCAGTGGGGGTTGGCAGTAAGGGATGTTTATGGCTGGCCCCTCGCATCTCTTTAAAGCTTACCTTGTGCATTTGGAATTTGATCCAAAGCCCGGTGGGGTCAGGTGGGAGCTGTCGTTCTGTGCAGGTCGGTGGACCTCGGACCACGACGGTGGTAGTGTGCTTCATCTTTCAGCTCTAACTTTGACTTTTTTTTCCTTTACTGTCTGCTAAGACTTTGTAAGTACCTGCTGCTTTTATACGCTGTCAGCCTGTAGAGCTGGGTACATATGGTGCTTTAGCTACAGAGGAGAAGATGCATTAATAAGTGGGAGTCTCGCTCTTTTGTCCCTTTGTCCTTGTATACACCAGTGTTTATGGTGGTCAGTGCTTTCGGTGACTGTGTTAAGGAGCTCCCCAGGCTCAGATCCGCGTCTGCCTGTAACCTTATTTTATTAATGCGGTGAGTGTGTGTGCCTCTCTCAGCCAGCAAGCCAAGCATCTTGCCTTCAACTTCAGCGGAGTGGAAGAAAAGCAATGATTTTTTTAAAGGTGAAAAGTCTGAAGGTAGAAATCAGATCTGTTCAAAGCTGAATTTGAAATCAGGCTTCTACATAGGATGTTAATCTCTACTATAATCTATTAAAGCCACTTAAATGCAAACCAATTAAGATTCAAGCTTTGTATGTCTGCTGCCTGGAAGTGTAAGAGTATCAGACCCCTGACCTGGCAGAGAGAGCTGGACCTAGGAGTTGCTAAACTGCTAAATGAGCTTTTTATGATGATGAAGTTGCTTTTTTTCATGTCACTTTTTTCAGGTACTTGAGTTCAGAGTCTCAGGTGCACTCCAATTTGATAATCAGTTGGGAGTTAGAAATTTGCCTCTTCCAAATTCTTTGTAAGAGGAAGGTATGAAATGTTCAGATCTTCTAATTGCCGAAGGAGGTTGTGACCAGAGCCAGAAGAATAAATTGTTTACAGACAATACTTTCCGTGTTCTCTTAAATAGCACATGTTAAATACAAAAACATCTTGATATTTTTCTTTAGTGTATCCTACATATTTCAGGTGTTTTTTTAATTTTTATTGTTATTTTGGGAGAATTTTTAATTATAATTGCTGTCAGACGAAACTGGACATACTAATAAATACAGAACGTCACTCACCATTTTATCAGAAAACCGTAAACACTGAGACTGTGAATAAGCATATGTTCAGTTACTAATTTCTTTTTAAGTGTACAAACAAATCTGGATGATCATAGTACATTTCCTGATTGGCGAAAGCACACTAACAAATGGGAGCCAGTCTTTCTGTAAGATAATATTAAGTACAAATGCAGGACAAGGTTAAATTGGGTTCAGGCTGCCTTTCCTC